CACACACACACACACACACACACACACACACACACACACGACACCGCTCACCTCCTTCGAACTCGGTCTGACAGTTCCCGGAGTTCTCCTTCAGGCTCTCCTCCTCGTTGACGATGATGTTCTCGATGTCCTTCATGGTCAGGTGGTCCCTGAAGGCGTAGAACAGGATGTGTTTCAGCTCCTCCAGGCTGATCCTCTGCATGTCGAACTGCCAGGAGACAGACGGGAGAGGGAGMCACAAACTGAAACAAATCATCTCTCTGACAGAAAACATTCGTTCCGCAGAAACAAACTGAACAAAACGATTCGAAACATTTAATCCATCAAAGCTTCAAACACAAAGTGTCTGAATTCACTGACAGGAGCTGAAGGAACATGTAAATAAATTAAATGCAGGTGTGCTAMATCCTGCTGTTCTGCACTGATGGCGACTTTCCAGATGTGTAAGCTGCTCAGAGACACTAATGTACCCCCATATCATCAGAGAGGCAGGATTTCAAACTGCGGTCCTGCTCCTCTGGTTTGTAGTTTCTGAAAACTGTTTCAAACTAGAATTTTTCCCCCATTTTGATCCAAAAATATATTAGATTAATTATTAAATTAAAAATTATTATCATTATTATATAAAATATGATTTAAATTAAAGTCCAGCCTGTTAAATGTTGATTTACATTATTTTTTGATATTTTTACATGATTTTCCAGCCATGCAGTGAAATTATAAACTAGTTTTTACCACAGATCTGTGTGGAAGAAATAAAATAATCCTCTCAATAACTATCAAAACTAGAAAACTATTTTCACATTATTTGGAAACTTAATGTTTACAATCATTTAAAAGTCTTTATTTAACTGAACTGCAGCAAACTCAAAGTTTCAAACTTTATTTTTTGGTTCGATGGCAACATTTTAATTTAAAAATTATGTTTGAAATTTAAAACACATGAAAYGTATTTGGCTTTTTGAAGTGTTTGCAGATCTGTTACAGCTGGTCAAGAGATTATGAAATTATTTGTATTTTTAATTATTTAATAAATTTACTTTGAGTGACCTGATTTTACTGTTTTAAAAAGACTTCATCCATCAAACATTCGTACCTGCAGCTCTCATCTAAAACACTTCCTGTCAGGAAGACGTTTCTTCCCTCAGCACTTATTTCCAGCCTCCACAACCTGCCGACCTTCTCAGCTAATATTTACTGTGCAGCACAGACTGACCTTTCTCAGAGRGTCCTGAAAGAAAGCAGAGCTGGACAGAACAACACACCTGAGGACCACTGCTGTGACCTACAGACTCAGACTGAAGCCCCACGCAGGAAACCTTCCCTCCAAAATAAAATCGCACGCCGCCTCTTAACCCAGACTCTGCAGAGGCTGAAAAGGTCAAAACCTGCGGCGGAGAAGGTTAAGATGGAGCTCTGAGCTAAAACCAGCTCCGGTCCAGAACAGAGTCAYCAGAAACTGAACACTTCAGCTGAAAGATGCAGAAATATTTTTTAAAAATAAACTGAATTATTACTCTTTGCTGGATTTTAACAGTTGATGTGGAACCCAAACTGTGAAAACTAAAAGCTTCAAGGGGAAGAAGAAAAATGTGTTTTTTTAAAAAAAGGAGTAGAAATACAGTAAAACCGAAAGAGGCAGAAAAAAAATGAAGAAGGCAGAAACAAAGTGAAATGAACCAAAAACARGTTGAAACYAGACATGGGCTTTTACGATGTAAAAACAAGTGTGCATTGCCACGTAGCATGTCATTGCAGCATGGCTTTACCTGCAGCAGTGGACTTGCAGAATGAACTGTGACCAAGTTCAAATGTGTTTTCTATACCAGCTTGTGCCTG